ATAAAGAAAAAAAAAAGCAAAGCCTTACTTTGACATTTCCGCTTAAAACCGCCGCTTATTCACTTCTGTCAAAACTTTTACAGATTCTTTAGGGCAGGGGTGGGCAAACTTTTTGGCTCAGGGGCCTCATTGACTTTTAAAATTTGACAAATGGGCTGGGTCAGCACAAGACTTTTTGGGAATCCCCCCCACCCTTTCCCCCACCCTTCTTCTCCTCCTTCCCCTCCCCTTGGAGGCCCCCTGAGTCAGGAGTTGCTACTGCCGGCGCGGCTCCAGTCCTGCGTTGCCTCGGGAAGGGAAAGGCAAAAAGGAAGAGCCGTGGTGGCACTTTGCAACGGCAGCAGTGGCACCAGAGGCTCAGGCTCAGCGGCTCCTGGTTTTGCCTTTCCCTTCCCAAGGCAACATGGGACTGGAGCCGCGCGGAGCTGTGCCGGCGGTAGCAACTCCTGACAGCCCCAGCTGGACACCTGAGCAGAGCCCAGGCGGAACTGCCTGTTGCTGCTGCGGGCGTCTGGCTGCCCAAGTAAAGAACCGCACCAGCTCAGGGCAACTGTGAGGAGCAAGAGGGGAGGCCAAGGTGCTCATTTCATAGCAGTCAACTTCGCTCTCTTTTGCTCCAGTTAGGTGCTCCCGGCATGCACAAGGAGCATGAAGGGAGGCAAACACCGCACAGATGCGTTTTAAAAGTCAGAGAACTTTGCCCAAGACTTCTCGTGTATTCAGGGGCTACACCTCTCCCAATGATGAGTTGGTGGCGATCTAACAAAACGTCTTCCAGCTCTTAAAGATTGACTTATGAGCACCCCCATGGAAGAAGCCAAGAACGAGAGCAAAAGTAGAGGCGGCGGGGGCAACAAGGGCATGTGATGGGTCCCTCCACGGTCCCCTCCCAGGTGACACCCAGGGCTTTGGCACCTACTTTTTTCCTGAGATGTGCGGTGTCTGCCTCCCTTCATACTCCTTGTGGAGGGACACACATGCCCCGTCACCCCTGCCGCCACTACGTTTGCTCGGCTTCTTCCATGGGGGCACTCTAAAAGTCGACCTTTAAGTGGTCCCGGAACATACACCCACCTGCCCGGCATCCGCCCTCCCGGAGCACGCTTTCTTCCTTCTCCTGGAGAACGTGCCTCTTCCAGCCTGGCCCCATCCAGCCAGCAGGTGACCACATGTCCTGGGGCTTGTTGCGAGTTGCCTGCAGCATGCTCTGTTCTATGTGTCAGGCCCAGCAAGTCCGAGCAGCCGGCGCATAGAACAGAGTGGTGCTGGACCATTGGAGAAGCGGAGCAAAGCCAGAGATTAGTAGCTGCCTCTTTCGGGGCAGAAAGCTTCCCCCAACCAGCCGGCTGGTCTCCTCCTCCTCGGCCGTACAGAACAAACAGGCAGAGAAGGAGGAGAGCAGCTGGCCAGTTGGGGGAGGCTTCTTGTGCTGCGAAAGAGGAGGCTAATGATCTCCGGCTCCGCTCTGCTTCTCCAACATCCGGCGCCGCCCTGTTCTATGTGTCAGTCCCAGCAAGTCCGAGCAGCTGGCGCATAGAACAGGGTGGTGCCGGACCATTGGAGAAGCGGAGCAAAGCCAGAGATTAGTAGCTGCCTCTTTCAGCGCAGAAAGCTTCCCCCAACCAGCCGGCTGGTCTCCTTCTCTGCCTGTTTGTTCGGTATGGCCGAGGAGGAGGAGACCAGCCAAGAAGCGCGCTGCCAGGCGGGGGCCACGCGGTGCAGGGCAACACGCCACTGCCCGGCCCTGGCGAGGGAAAGCAGTGGGCGTTCCCCGGGCGGCGACCTCGGCCCCGCCACCAGGGAAGCGGCTACCCAGCTCCGTGTTGTGTGTGCGATTTTTTGGCGTGCGGCGCAGGGTCTCTTTTGGCCCGCCCCGATTTTTTTTTTCAGAGGCGGGCCATATTAAAATGACTAGCGGGCCGGATGTGGCCCGCAGGCCGTAGTTTGCCCACCCCTGCTTTAGGGTGTCCTTTTAAATCTTAGAATAAAAAAAAATGAAAGTTCTCACCAAACCCGCACAATTTCTCTTTCTGCTCTCTTCCATATCGGAGCTGTCCCAACTTCAGCAGCTTTAATGGCTGCCTCTTTGCCGCTGGCTAGAAGAGCTTCTCCTGGATTAACCAGGGACTTTGCAATATCCCTGGGATCTACAGGATGCGCTCTTCACTATCGCCGTCTCTTCGGGACGGTTTAGATCCGTTTGGACCGTCCAGGGGCAAAGATATCAGCTGCAATCTCAGACCTCCGAGATCGCATCCCTTATCATCGCGACGCCAGCTCCGCCCTCTCAAAAGGGCAGGTTGTTATTGGTAATTTGTTCTTCAAAAAAATGCAGTATAATCATTGGCAAGCATTGCATATGGAGACTTTCTTCCTTGCATTTTAATTAATACTTGAGGGCACCACAGGGGGAGCAGTGTGTGGAAGAATTGTGCCAGTAGCTCATCTTAAGATCATTGTGGTGGAATTCTAATCATTTTGCACTGTTGAATTGTATAAGCTGGCTAGGTTGGTACTTTCTCAATGTCTCTTCACTGTAGAGAAGCTTGAGCAAAATGTTAGAGGTAGGCAGGAAAAAAACCTTAATACTGGGGGCTGCTCTTCCTACCTCTCTTTGGGAGCTTTGACTGACATGTTAGTTTGGCATATATATGTTGCATCAAGATTTGGATGCTTTTAAATACAATTCTGCACAAAATAAAAGACTAAGAATGGATGACACAAAGTAATGCAATGCGATAAATCTCAAGAATGGTGTCTGAGAAGTGGTCTATGATGATGCCTTTACCAGCTTTAATCCGAGTGTCATGACCATGTGACACTACCATCTGAGACCAGCAGCCTATTCTTACAGCTGTCTTTGCTCTCTAACTATCCATATGATATGCATAGGCTCTGAAGGAGTAGGAGAACTGCCAGTACCACTTCCCTTCTTCTTTCCATGTTCAATTTAAGGCACTATGGCACCCAGTTGCTTGGGATGAGGAGCACAATGTAGGGATAATTTATCCATTTATTCCATTCATATAAACAATCCCAGCCAGGACCTAGTGAGGGGGTCGGCAACCTGTGGCTCTTTGGGCCCTCTTCTATGGCTCCCTGTCGGATGATCCTACCACTGGCTGGTCCTGCCTCTCGCCCTCCCTTCACAGTCACTCCACCTGAGAAGGTAAGGGCGACGGCAGATGGAGACTTGCCCCAAATTCCAGAGCGGGAGCGAAGCACTCCTTTACTTGCCTCTTCCAGCCCTTATTGGTGCTGTGCGCACCTCAGCTGGAATATGGGGAGATGTGTGACTTTCTCTCCACCCCGAGACACTGGCCCGGCTGAGGCTGACACTGCTCCTCTTACCGCCTCCATGGCCTGCTCGCTGCTCTTGCAGTGCCTTGTGCAGCATACTTAAATTTAGCATGCTTCACAATGGGGGATACGGTGTCCCGTCCTCCTCCTAGAGCCCATTACAACAAGGAGCATCAGTTGCAGCCGGCCCAGCCAGAGTCCCGGAGCAGAGAGAAAGTTGTGCATCTCCCTGAGTGGCCAAGGTGTGCTCAGCACCAAGAAGGGCCGGAAGAAGAGGCAAGTAGAGGGGAGCTTTGCTCCTGCCCTGGAATATGGGGCGAGTGTCCATCCGCCACCGTCACCCTTACTTTCTCAGACCAGGAGTGATGGGGAAGAGTGGGGCCAGCCACTGGTAGGTTCAGCTGACAGGAAGCCACAGAAGCGGGATGAAAGAGCTTCATTTATCTAGGAACCTGAAATGACTCTTGATTTAAATCATATAGTAACCCAAAGAAGCACCCAAAGAAGAAACAACATCATCAGCAAAAAAACAAAACCAACCCTCGCCTATTTTTGGAAATGGTTCAAGAGGGAACACACACAAACACACAAGAGAGACAGAGATGAGAGAGAGATACCTGTTTCCCAGAAAAAAGAAAATACCGGGAGCCACAAAACCTGGGTAGGCGTGGCGGGGTTGTCATGTGAGTGGGTGGGAGTGCGTGCCGTCGAGTTGGCCACGCCCACCTAGGTTTTGTGGCTCCCAGTGTTTTGTTTTCTATGGGAAACGGGTCTGGTTGCAGACCCCTGGCCTAGTGAAAGAGCCATATTTTAATAGGGTTTTCCTAGATGGCAACAGACTTGATCCATGCAGATTTTAGGGGAAAGGGGTTCGAAACCAGCAGTCCAGGTGCAGCAACAGAAGAGGTACATTTCTGAGGCCTCAAAATGATGTAATTTTAAAGAGACCTGGAGCATTCCTGCTGTTCTAAGAAGATGAGCAACTGGAGAGAGGGCTGTCCCACAGGTAACTCTGCCAGGGAAGGCTCTTTTATTGCTGACCAACATCTTGAATTCTGCCTGGAGGCTAATTGGCAACCAGTGTGAATTGCAAAGGAGTTACCTGACCCTCACCCATTACCATATTAATAAGTTTAATAATAGAGTCTTAAGAGTAAGGCAGTGATTCCAAAGTCCATACATCTCTTGTTTACAAATGACCTGAAAGTTTTCTTATGCATTGGAGGTTCCTGTATTCTGAAGGTATCTCTTCATAATTGTAGTAGATGATTTTGTTTGTCAGTATGGGAATTTGATTCCTCCATTTAGGAACTAAGCATATGAATGAGCTGTGTCATCTGGGGTTCAGCATGCACTGATCTTTCTGATCTGGTCTAAGCCCTTTTCTCTCTTTTTCTATTCTCCCAGTGAAATACCTTGCTTTCCTCCGCAAGCATATGAACACCAACCCATCCCGTGGCCCATATCACTTCCGTGCTCCCAGTCGAATTTTCTGGAGAACAGTTCGAGGTGAGTTGTTTTCTCCTTAAAAACAAGTAATCCCCTAAAAAGAATAAATTACTTTTTCAAAGTATCTGCACTCATTTGCAGAACATGTGATTTGGTACTTAGTGGGAGTCCACATATGCATTTTTGTGTGTGCATTTTGAACAAGGTTCTTTCCAGATTATGATCAATGCCCCTGTGTTCTGGCAGTTTCAACAGTTGTAGTTCAAAGCACTTGAAGGGTCCAGATTAGCAAAGACTGTTGAATTTGAGGTGGGGTAAAGTAGTTCTAATCAAGGTTACTTTTGCTTATGTTTGTTCAGTAATCACATTTAGTTGTGCTTCATTCTGCTCATCATTGCAGATATTACACAGTATGATTAATTAGGAGGGAGCTGTTTACGTTTGCTTATATGTTATAAGAGGTTTTTTTGAAGAGATTTGATCTATTCTTTTATGTACCTTGGAGTCTCTGCTTCTATGATTTTTCCATTTCCCCTCCTTGCTCCACTAGGAATGCTCCCTCACAAAACTAAACATGGTCAGGCTGCCTTAGAGAGGCTGAAGGTTTTTGATGGCATTCCTCCACCTTATGATAAGGTAACTTCCTGATGTGCAATTATCTTAACTCCTTGGCTTCCTATTCTGTTTGATGTTCTTTTTTACCTACATTGTTTGACTTGAGATGTGGGGGGGGGGAACAGTGAAACAGATCTGAGCATCCATAGCGGTGCTCAGAGCTGCTTTCATTGTGCTGCTAACGGCATATTTTCTCCTGCAGCGCAAGAGAATGGTTGTCCCAGCTGCTCTGAAAGTGGTCCGTCTGAAACCCACCCGAAAGGTAATGTTTGTTATTGTTAAAAATTACCAGTAGGGATTTAGTACATTATTTCTTTGTTTGACAATCTGTTGCCATTAAAACTCTAAATTAAGGAGGACCCTTAGCTTAAGTGTGCAAATATGTTTTCAGCTCCTTTTCTCTGGCTGAAAGAATTAAGATAAGAAAGGGAGATCTGAGGCCTTGGAGACTCACAGTTGCTTAGATGATATCAAGCAAGAAATTTGACATTACTGGATGTCCATCCAGATCAGTTTTCAACCTGAAAATGTAGCAATAGTGCTTATATACTGCTTCATAGTGCTTTGCAGCCCTCTCTTGGCAGTTTACAAATGTCAGCATATTGCCCCCAACAATCTGGGTCCTTATTTTACCAACATAGGAAGGAGGGAAGGCTGAGTCAACCTTGAACTGGTCGGGATCGAACTCCTGGCTGTGGGCAGAGTCAACCTGCAATACTGCATTCTGACCACTGCACTACCACGGCTCTTATAGTAGTAGGGGCTCTTACAGTATTTTCTCCTACATCATCACTGTTAGATTGGTGCTGATTGGGAATCGTGGACTTACTAGCTGGCTGAAGGATAACATATCTACATTTGTTAAGGGTACTGATTTAAGTAGGTCTGTGATGATGACATTCTACCATAGTTCAAGTTTCAAGACCATGAGACAATGTTTCATGCACTACCATCTGAGACCTGCCTTTTGTAATACATTATGATATTTTGAAGGAGTTGGCTTTTTGGGTTAGCAAGTCTGGGTGATGGAGAACAAGAATTCTGATTCTGCTGAGTTATCCCTGCTGGTTGGTGATCCAATTTGTTGAGATCTAGCACAATCTCAAGACAGGTTGGGAAGGACTTTGCTAAAGGAATAACTGGGCTATGCTAAAGGCTGAATTGTTTGGGTGGGTGTGTAGCACTAGGAATAGCATTAATAGGAATCTCTGAAAAAATGAAATTTACTGAGCAAGAATAGCAGGTGTGAAATTTGGTGCAGGGCTGAGATTGGTCATAAAGTGTGGCTTTTTTCTTCCATGCAGTTTGCCTATTTGGGCCGCCTTGCCCATGAGGTTGGGTGGAAGTACCAGACCATCACAGCCACTCTGGAAGAGAAGCGCAGACAGAAGGCCAAGGTTCATTATACAAAGAAGAAACAGCTTACGGTGAGTTAACCTGAGCTTATAATTCTAGTCAAGGGTGTTCTGGATGAGAGGTCCCCAACTCCCAGGCCACAGCATGCCAGAAACCGGGCTGCACAAAGAGAAGCCCCATCTGCAGGATGCAGGCAGCACACAAAACCACATCCCCCGGTCCAGATAAAAACCTCTCCACAGAACCGGTCCCTGGTGCCCAAAAGGTTGAGGGATGCTGTTCTAGACTAGCCTTAGGAGAGAAATGGCTGTCTCTTCCCCACCCCAAATCTCGCATATCAAAGACTGAGTGGAGAAATGCTTATGCTTGGAAGTCCCAGAACATGTAAATTAAAAATGAAGGGGAAGAGCAATAACTTTAGATTTTCCACCAAGAGAAAGTACTAATTGTCCAATAGCTGGTAAACAATAAATTATAAAGGAAATCTGAATTATTCTGTGACTGATTCCCTGATAAGGTTGTCAAAGCAAGTTGTATAATTTCTACCATTTAGCGCTTACCTGCCTATTAATACCTTGTTGCTATACTGAGTTCCTCTTCTTTTTCTTTCTCCTTTTTAGAAACTCCGAAAGCAAGCAGAGAAAAATGTGGAGAGCAAGATTGCTAAATACACAGATGTCCTGAAGCATTATGGTATCTTGATTTAAGTGAAGGTCTGGGGTTCAGTTGACAATAAAGAATACAATTTACAGACTTGTGGTGTTATGCTTTAAGTTTTATTATTCTTCAAAGGAGTATTTCAAGTACTTTTTCTCCTAGCAATGGCTCCAGTTGATGAGAATGAATACAGGTAGTCTTCAACTTACGACCATGATTGAGCCCAAAATTTCAGTTGCTATTTGTTAAGTGAGTTTCGCTCCATTTTATGACTTTTCTTGCCACAGTTGTTATGTGAATCATTGCAGGTGTTAGTAATATGGTTGTTAAGTGAATCCGGCTTCCTCATTGACTTTGCTTGTCAGAAGGTTGCAAAAAGGGATTACATGACCCCGGGACACTGCAACCGTCATAAATATGAGTAAATTGCCAGGAGTCTAAATTTTGATCACATGACCATG